CGTTTCCCACGGGGCCAACAGGCCTGCAGACTCTGACGTCTTCGGTCTGGAAAGAAGAAACGGACGGGAGCCCAGAGCATGCGTAAGTATACAGTCTTGTTCTCTAAGAGGTGGGCCACGTCACGGGTGGCCACCGAAGTGTAACTCCATGTAAAAGAAATACAGTTGGAAGGCAGCCGCTCAGTCCCTCTAGTCACAGGTCAATTGCTTAACAGCCGCAAATGGCTGCGACAGCCCAGAAAGAGACTAGGACGTCACCTGTCACCTTGGATGTCCTAGGCCACCTGCTGAAGGGCCAGAGAGATAAGGCAAGCTTCCCTCAGAAGGGGCAGGGGACAGCTCCTCGGGCCAGACACCTGCTCTCGTTTTTTTTTTTTTTTTGGAGAGATTTTCGCCATAGGGTGCATGCACTCGCCAGAGAGACAGAGACAGAAAGCGAGAAATCACCCCCCAGGGGGGATGGTCACGCCGCAATCCCTTCTCCTCCATTCTCCTCTCGGGATCTTGGGCACGCACGCACACGCACCCGGCGTGAGTTTTAAGCCACCGGGTCCCGGGACATGAACTGCGGTCGACTACGTGGGAGTCCAGCGACATAGCCATTACGCTAACTGCTGGTTCCCACCTGCTCTCGTTTTAATGAACTTCAAGAACCACCAGTACCTGAGTTCTCTCTTCGGAACCAGTAGTGCAGTCCAACATCTGAATTTGCAAGTCGAGACTTTCCGAGTGCCCACAAGTGGCCACAAATGGAAGATTCCACAGGTCCTTCCGACAACCACAGTGAAAACTCCACAAAGGAATGCACGCCAGGCGTTTGCTCAGGCTTTGTGCAGAAGGTACGTATGGAACATGGCTAAATTTTGCGTTTAGACTGGGGTCCTATCCCAGAGATACCTCATTATGTATATGCAAACATTCCACAATCCAAAAATATCTGAAACGCAAACCACCCCGGTCCCAAGCATTCTGGATGGGAACACCTCACCCAGGAGCACTCGGCAGGGTAGTCCGTGAAGGTCCCACTGGGTCTCTCCAATCTGACCCCACCCGGACCTCATCACACCCCCCACCCCTTCCTGCAAACAAACACCGTTAGGCCAAGTTAGCTTAATCACCGCCACGTTAGGGAATGCTGGGACGAGCTAGCTCAATTGCTACCAGGTTAAGGCTTCAAGGAAGGAGCTCACTGTTAGGGCCTCAAGGAGAGAGACCAGGAGTCTGGGAACTCTCAGATAAGCAGAAAACGGGAGGGCCCAGCACCTCCGAGGCAAGGTCATGCAGACCCTTAGCTGAGAGCCCTTACCTAGACCTGAGCAGGTGGTGACAGCCGGACCCTCGCTTCCCAAACCCCTCCTTTGAGTGTGTTACATTCTATGGAGAATCCTGAACTATAAAAGATCCCTTTATCTTAGGCTCGGGGTCCTTGTTAAGGCCCACTGTGACGGGCAGAAACTCGGACCCCAGCTAGCTGGAAAAAGAATAAAAGCCTCTCTTGCAGTTGCACTGTGTTGTCTTCTCTGCGACTCCATCAGCTAGCCCAATCTCTGGGCCCTTAGAGCACAGGGTTAATAAAGTCTGGAGACCCAACCTGGAGGGCAGTGAGAAAAAGCGGGGAGACCAGCGGATCCTATTCTGTGCTCTCTCCTGGAACTGAGGGGCAGAGGACCGGACAGAGGGCTGGTGGGACGGCTTGGTCCTGGGGGACCCAGGCCCTGGAGACAGGAGTCCCCGTCTCTCTCCAGTCGGGACCTATGGCCCACTTCCGGGAGATTAGACCGCTGCAGCTTGCCGGCCAGGGTGCAGGACGGGCCTCCAGTGTCCCCGGGAGGACCTGGCAACTGCAGCAGCGACCCACAGGGGAGACCGCCTGCCTGGGGCTTCCCAGAATCTGGCCGGCCTGGCCGCCCTCCCCCCACACTTCCGGAGTCAGTCCCCAGGGAGTCAGAGCGGGGCTGCACCTTCCCTCCATGCCAGCGCCCCCTTGGAAACCACTCAAGTTGGAGGTGGTCCCTTGGCGCAGGGGGACAGCCCGGCGGGGCCCCTGTGTCCTGGGTGGTCGTCTCCCTCAGGGCCAGGGGCCCCTCCCTGCGGGGACTGCGCCAGGCGGGAGGGACCACCGTCCTGGTCCTCGGCACGGGCCCCTGTCCCGGCCTCGCTCACCTGGTGCGGCCGCGCTCCCGGTGCGTCAGGTGGGAGAGCCAGGAAGCGCCGCGCAGCCCCGCCACCTCCGGGCCAGCGGGGAAGCCGGGAAATCAGAAGTGAAACCGAGGTGGGAGGCGCCCCGGCTGCCTACGAGGAGCCCGCCCAGGCTGCCCGCGCGGGTCGCGAGGTCTCTTCCTCTCTTCCGCACTCGCACTCCGCTTGCCCTGCAGGGGGGAGAACTCAGGGAAAGGCGGTTCCGGGCGTGGAGGGAAGGGCGCGCTCGGCCCGCGAGCCACCCGCCTGCTCGCGCACCTGCAGGGGGCACCCCCGGTCGACACAGCTGGGACCGGCGGGCCCCCGGCCCCTTCCCCCGCAGAGCC